TAGCAAAACCTCGTAAGTTGACTTAAATAGTTTATTTTTCGTTGCTGAGTTATTACTTATGAAGTTATGAGTATTTGATTTTGTGTGTTATCATAATGAAATATCTATCTTCACGGATAATAGATATACGGTCGAAGCATTGTGTTGTTTGGGGGGCGTGGTTTCAAAGAGCGTGACGTCAGAATAGACCTCCGCAATCCAGCCGCTAGCCCGCTAATGCAGTAATGCGCCAAAACTCTATCATTGTTTAGTGTTTACCAACTATTTTTTTTTTTTTAACATTGTTTCCGTCTACTTGTCGACTTATTGCAAAGAAGAATAAAACAATTAATTGAACGTTAAAGTAAGTAATTGTACAATATTAGAATATTAGTTGTTACAAATTACAATGTACTGTAGAAGTTTAAATAATAAATCTATAATCTATCTTTGAAGTTATTACTTACATTTATAATTACTTTACATATCTATGTAAACTGTAAAGAATTATATTATAGTAATTTATGGATCAATCTTGTTTTTAAATATGTGTTAATTATTATACTTGCACATTAAGTAATAAGGTTCCTGAATTGATACCTATATAAATTATTAAAAAATAAAATGTTAACAATTAATAAATTACTGATAATTATATTGTTAATTAGATGCCAGGAACTAGATGTGCTGTTGCTGTTTGCTCAAATAGTTTACAGGAAACAAAAAAAAAAAATTCTAACATATCTTATCATACATTTCCAAAAGATCAAAAACTATGCCATGTTTGGATTAATGCCTGCCGTAGAAAAGATAAGTGGAATCATAAGACCAGTACAATTTGTAGTGTACATTTTTTGGAAAACGATTTTGAAGTTGATTTGAGAAGCCAATTAATGAACATCAAAATAAAAAGAAAATTAAAACAAAATGGTATCAATTATTTATTATAATATTTTATTTCTTTACAATTATTAACCTTAATTTAATTTTTTTTTTTTTGTTTAGCTATTCCAACACAACATTTAAAAGAGAAATATTTACCAAATGTGTTAACTAATACATTATCATCTAGACAAGTACGTGCAAATATGCGTGAAAATGCAACTATTGTTCAAAGTTTAATGTTACCAACTCAAGAGAATAAAGATATAGCAAAAGAAGATGAAGATAAAGTACACGAAGAGTTGCCTACTTTAATTAATGAATCAATTGAACATAAGTACCAACAATTACTTAACGACCATGACAAATTGAAAACAAAGTATAAACATTTATCTCAATTCAATAGATTTCAAAAAAATCGTATTAATACTTTGAACAAAAAATGTAATATTCTTTCTCAAAAATTTGGGGAACAAGCTTCGCAAACTCATATCTTAAATGAATCTTTAAAAATAGTGTTCAGTCAAACACAATTACAATTAATAACTAAAAAGAAAAAAAAAGTGATTTGGAGCACAGAAGATATTTCAAAAGCTTTTACATTACGATATCTTAGTAAAAGGTGTTACATTTATCTAAGAAACAAATTGAACTATCCATTGCCACATGTATCAACTTTAGTTAAATGGGCTTCCAGATTAAATTTCCGTCAGGGTATTTTGGTTGACGTTATTAGAATAATGAAAATAGCAGCGCTAAATTTAAATAGTATTGAATTATTGTGTATTATTCAATTTGATGAAATGAAGATATTATCAGCTTATGAGTATGATAAAAAAAACGATCAAGTCATAGGGCCCCACAGTCAAATGCAAGTAATCATGGTGAGAGGCATCTTTAAGAATTGGAAACAACCAATATATGTCAATTTTGATCAATTAATTACACCGGAAATTCTGTCTGAAGCTATATCTATTTTATATGAAAATTCATATAATGTGGTTGCCTGTGTATCTGATTGTGGTGGTGGTAATGTTGGGTTATGGAAGAAGTTGGGTATAACTATTGACAAAACATATTTTCTACATCCTAACACAAAAGAAAAAATTTATTTTTTGGCAGATGCCCCACATCTTCTTAAACTAATTCGAAATTGGCTTTTAGACACAGGATTTATTCTTTCAGACGGTTGTATGATAAATGCAACACCATTAAAAGAGTTACTTAAAGTAACTAATACAGAAATTTCAGTTTGTCATAGATTATCACAGAAACATTTGGAATGTGTAAAGGCCGAGAGACAAAATGTCGGATTAGCCGCACAATTACTCTCCCATAGTGTTGCTACAGCTTTGATCCATTATAAACCAGGTTTAAATCAGGTATTATCGGAAAATACTGGTCACTTTATTGAAGTTGTAAGTAACTGGTTTGACATAATGAATTCGTATACACCATCTGAAACTTTGTGCACCAAAAAGCCTTATGGCTTAAATTTAGAAGACCAGAATAATTGTTTGGATAAAATGTATAAGGTAATATATTCAATGAGATGTGCAGGCAAAAATACTTTACAAACATTTCAAAAAGGAATTTTGATTTCCATAAAATCTACTCAATTACTTTTTGAAGATTTGAAAGATAAATATAATATATCTTATATAGTCACTCACAGACTTAATCAAGATAGTCTTGAAAGTTTTTTTTCTTTAATTAGAAGTCGGGGAGGACTTAATGACCACCCTACTCCCCTAAATGCAATGTACAGAATTAGAATAATTGTGCTCGGTAAAAACCCGGGGGTAGTACAGGACAAACTTAATATTGAAACACCACAGGAAAAATTAAATTTGGAAGAATATTTGGTAGCAAATGTAATGGCAACTGCAGATGTTAACATCCCTTTCAATAACGAAGAAAATGATTTATCTGATAGCAGTTTGTCATCATCTGAATCATCATCAACACAAAATAATCTTCCAACAACTAATGAAGAAGATGGTTTTATTTATTTGTGTGGTTGGCTTGCCCGTAAATTCAAAAACAAATATCCCCACTTGGGTTGTTATACCAAAGACAAAAAACCAGATCATTCATATAGCGCACCAAGTTGGGTTCAACATCTGTCATTTGGTGGTTTAACTGAACCGTCTACGGATTGGGTTAAGCAAGCTAAAGTTTTTGAAACCCTCTTTAAAAAGTTTCACAAAGAAAAAATTGATACCGAATCAAATATTGTTAAAAGATTAACTAAATTAATAAAAAAAAAATGTGATGTGCCTGAAGATTTAATTAAAGCGTTTATTCTCCAAAGGACTTACATTAGAATTAAACTGCTGAATGATAATCTTATAGCTGAAAGATCTGAAGGTAAAAAAACATCAAGCACAGATAGAAAATCAACTAAAAAAATGAAAAAAATAATAACTTAAATATTGTATGGGATTGTAATATTAAAAAAATAGTATTTAAACCTTATTATAATATTTTTTTACTTATATTAATTGTTCCTGATTCTTAATTAATTAATGTAAATGTGTAAATATGATAATATATATATAATTTAAATATGATGTAAATAGGTATTTATTATACTTTTATTTGTGTAAAAATTATTAATTGGTTATATATTGTATTTGTAAGATTAAAGTTTGAACTTGTAAATTCTTATCTTATTTTTTGCATAATTTGTTTCAAATACATTATTATTATTAAATGTTTGTATTATAAATTTATGTTAATGTATTTATGTAAAATAAAATTCACAAAGCTAAATAAATTCAGTTAATTTTAAATATATCAGTCTCTTAAATCACTCAATACTATTCATTGATATCCATAATATTTTATATGTTAAAATACGTAATTAAAATATGGTAAACAGAATAACAATCTTAAGAACCCCAGGAAATAATTCGCGATCTTAGAAAAAAAATCTCCAGAACTACAATATTACTCCTTAAGTTATTACTACATAAAAATGATTGAACAATTATTTTTTGAATGTTAATTAGTGTAATTAACTCATTATTTATTTAATTAATTACAAATATTACTCATAGTATAGGTATACTTTTCATTAAAAAAATAAAAACCAAGTTGGTATTAAAGAAACATTAAATTAAAAATCAATTTAAGTTCAAAGATGAAAATATATATTAAATACGCTTGTCGTCCGTAGTATTGCCGTGCAGCCGCGAGAATTTAGGTCTATTGTGACGTCATATAACAATAATCGTTTTTAATTGGCTAGCGGTGTTTGGCTTCGACCGTATATCTATTATCCGTGATCTATCTTAACTTAGTTATCATGATATCAAAATATGTAGAAAAATACAGTGCATCCGAATATGCAAAAAAAAATTCTGAAATTTTCGACTTGGAGATTTTGACATGAAGCCAACGATTTATGCTATAATAACTATATTTTTATGTTTTAGATACTTTCTCAATCAAAGTCATTTGCACCATCGATTGCACTTATAAAAAAATCCATTGAGACATTAATTGATAAAGGATATCTAGAACGCACTCCAAATTCATCTGATGGCTACAGTTATGTTGCGTAATATTTTTAAAATAAAAACATACTTATTATATACATATTAATTGTATTACTGTTTCATTATTATACATAATTACTTATTTTTTCAATGTATTGAGAATGGTTTTTTTATTGTATATACTTTATATTTTTGTAGAATTATGTTTGTTCTTGTAAACTCTAAATTGAGTATCAAACTAATCCTTTTAACACAATAGATAATTTAATTTAATGTCTTAGATTTATTATCAGAAAGTATTTGTTTGTATTGTTACCCAATTTCTAAATAGAATTTATTGTTGTGTTGATGATAAACAAATTAATTGGTTGTCATTTTTAACAAGCTTTGTGTAAGTTGACTACCTATTACTATGTTCAAAATCTTTAAACACATTTAATGTTGGTATATATGTATATGATATAGCACAATTTCTTATAAAAAACAAGTTTTCGAAGTAGATCATTGTTTGAATTTAAACATTGAAATAAATTATATAATTGTAATTAAAATTTTGTATATATAATATACAGGTATATAAGTTTTTAGCAAATCATTTTCATTTTTATTTGTATGAAAAAAAATTCCTTTAAAAAGTCACAAATGTTCAATTATATACCACAAATAAAAATGTCCGCATGAAACTAATTTCTTGGTTAGAAAGCAATCATTTAGACCACTCGAAAAAAAAAATTAATAGAATTTGTATGAAAATCCGCGCTCCTGAATACAATAGTAACTTATGGGTATTGCGATAGCAAAACTAGACGTGTGCAAAGACAACCATACACACACGACATAATAATATATTTGTTGATATTCAATATATCATTCTACAGTTACATTAGAAAAAATAAAATCGATATGTTATGCAAGAGAATAATATAGTCGACCGAATCCGTTCGCGCTAATCAGGAACGCACTTTTGCTGCTTCCGTAGAAGCTCGAAAGTTCAAATCGTGTACACCGTTCTTCGTAGCTGTTGGCGAAACACATTTTTTTTCTTAATGTAATAATAAAACGTGTCCTAGTTCGCAGAACAAATGATGTATAATTATATCGTACACTGTACAGCGTCATAACCGAATTACGCTCATTTAATTATAATAATAACACTAAGGTTCCAGTGACATAATTAAATTTGTCATCACCATAAGGTCAGTAGTATAATAATTCACAACCGATATATTCAGGGGTATACACACGAAAAGCATATAGACCCCTCCACATTGATCAAAGATTTTTATTTTTAATGATAATTTATAGCCGAATATAGACACCTACTCTATAATATTTTGTAACTCATAAATAATTAGTTCAATATCCCCGGTCCTTCCTTTCACAATGGGAAAACTGTGTGTACACGCCACTGGATGTATTACGCTTGATTGTTACTATATAGCATAAATTAAAGACGTAAGAAATTCTGTATTAAACATGAGGTGGCGTTTAAGGGTATGGAAGAGAAGGCAATACTCGACATTTCAGACCTGCGTTGCCCAGAGACGGATCCCGGGGACACCACTACGGTGCTCGACGGTCTTTTGGGAGCTGGACCGCACTACGGTAGGACGTCGGGCAACCATAGTTTCGCGCTGTTAAATGATATTATGCAATAATTTACTCTGCCTTCGTGTATAGATTACGGCGATGTGGCCGGCTGCGACAGTCCTACGGATCGATGCGACGACAACGATCAATCATCTGGATCTCTGAGCACTGACCAAAATTCCAATAACAATGTCAAGAGGAAACAGCGAAGATACAGGTAACAATCGCAGTAGGTACTTAAACAAAGTACCTGCGGACTTTTTGTTTTCGTTTTCATGTAATTATACCCAGATATGAACACGGAATTTCAAATAAAGTATTTTTAAATACACAGGTGTAGCACTTATCTGTGTATGAGAAAAAGCAGATATAATTTTTTAAAGACTGCGCAGTACCTGCCTAATAAAGTAATTCGTCTATTTTGTAACAACTACGGATTTTTCCTAGAAATAGAAAGGTACTTGACATTTGAGAACAATATATTTTGTTTTTGTATTTCAACATGAAACTTTCAAGTACGAACAGTAAAGTTTTTATTGGATATTTCATGCTTGTGTAAACAAGTACTCGCCGCTAATTGGACCACAGTAAATAGACTCTATCACTTATTGGACAGTATATCTCCACAATTATTCAATTCACCCGATTTTATCGCTTAAATTTTGAGGTTTGATACTCTGATTAATACTATATTTACGACTTATCGAATCGAAAAAAATTACCTAACATTTAAAAATATTTATTATGCATAATTTTAAGTTATTATTTATACGACAATATTTAAAAAAACATTTTCTAATTTTGCCGTTATCAATTTTCATACGCATATACCTATATATTTATGTATTACAGAAAACAGCTGTATATATTTGAAATATATAATATAATGGATATTTACTTGTATTAGTACATAGTTAAATTTAATTTGTTTATTACAATGCATATATTTATATTTTTTTTTTAATTCTTGAACCTTTTGCTTTATTAACTAATTTGGTAAATGAACTCAAATAGTTGGTCTGGTACCACAATCGTGAAACTATTCTTTAGGAACATCAAGTAAAATAACACTGTTTTAAAAAATTAAATAGATTTACATGATGATATTAAATTAAACGTTGATAAAAAAAATTAAAAAATATAAATAAACATGCTTAAACTTACAAACAAAAAGAATTTATTTTAAAAACTCACCTAGGTAAAAGCAAGAAGTAGATAAACCCTTTGTAATTTATTAATGTGCAATAAACAATAAGTCATCGCCCATCGAGTCTAGTTTATTTATATATACATACTAAGAGACGCGCAATATGAAATCGCTCTTAAAACATAATTCTATCCAAACAAATAATTGTATTGAAATTACAAATGATAATACTTTTACTTAAATTATCACTTAATATGAACGAAAATGATTTCTAATGTAAACAAATTTTGTATGTTGTATGCGTGTTGATTTTAATTTCAGCTGACTGCTCGACACTAACACATCCCCGTTGGGCATGTTAACGACTCGTCGTAACTAATGTATGTTAAATTTAGATTTTTGTTTTCAGAACGACATTCACGAATTTCCAACTGGAAGAATTAGAAAACTCATTTCAGAAAACACATTACCCAGACGTGTTTTTTCGCGAAGAATTGGCAATGCGAATCGACTTAACTGAAGCTAGGGTGCAGGTATAGTATCGATATTATTCATATACAAAGAGCCCGGATTAAGAACTAAAAATGAGGGAGGCACGGAACATGGAATTTCTTTTTACAATGCACACACATCCAAAATAAAACTAAAAAAAATAAAAAATAAAAATGTTTATAACACAACAATTTACTACATTATAAATGCATAAGAAATTAAAGTAAAAAAGACTGAAGTTTGAGAGTTGAAAGGAGTCCACAAAGTGTATAGAATTTCTGAGGCTTAATAGTTCTATAATTTGGACTTCCATTTTATTGGTATTTAGTATACTATCCGCATTCAATGTAAAATTGTTTTAAACAAATGTTATCTAAATAATTTATAGGTATGGTTTCAAAATCGTAGAGCCAAATGGCGGAAACAGGAAAAATCATTGGTTTCCCAGCATCAGAACCAAAATGAACCAATTATAAGCCCTTGTTTAACAGGTTAGAAATTAATTGTTAAATCTTAAAACAATAATTTTTCCAACATAATAGCTTGACTTTATAAATATACATACTCGTGTATGGTTTATATAATATTATATCAATACACAATGCTGTATATAGGCACTACAATATATCATTTTTGTTATATTTCAAAAAAATATTAGTTATGTAATCATTATAAAACTATTTATTTTTAAATTTTGTTATAAGCTTTTTCTACTTAAGAACTTCCCTGTTTTCTCTATATTATCATGGATTATGATAACTATTTATTTTTAAATTTTGTTATAAGCTTTTTCTACTTAAGAACTTCCCTGTTTTCTCTATATTATTCAATGGATTTGTTGAATTTGAATTAATTAATTAATTATTGTACTTTAACGAAAAACGATTCTGGTCTTTTAGATGAAGTATATATAATTATTCATACCTCAAGATATAGTTTATTGCATTTATATGGACATTAGATTATTATCAGCATTTATTCTTAAATTCGGTTGATATTCTGTATTTAGCTAATTTTTGCATATTACTTAAAAATCAATTTCGGCATACCGCCTGTATCGTAAATATGTTATAAAGGTTAAATATGATATATGTATACTGTATAGCTTAAAATTAATAAAATGAATCTTAATTTAAGCTTTTTTTTATGTCTAGACAATGTTAATCTGATTTGATTATAGGTACTTAGAGTGCCTTGATAAAGGCTCTATCAATGCATTCTAATTATACTTTTCTCAATTACAAAAAAAAAAAAAAAAAATGTATATTGATTTTTTTGATTGCATTGTAATATCTATATTTTTTATTCTATAATTATTAAAAATATACCTAGGGTATATTTTCTACTAGATAAAATTTATTATCATGAAAATATTAAAGGCTACTTTTACATTGAACTGATAAAGATTGAAACGCGTTTTTTGCTCTAATACGAAATTACTAAATATAACATTTTATTTTTCATTAAAAATATTGATTTAAGTTTTATACTATTGTTAGTATATTTATTAAACTGTATATTAAGTAAATAATAAATAATACATAAATATATATCAGAGCATTTTTTTTCATCGTTTTTCAGATAATCCAATATTCGGGAACTCTTCTAGCCTTCTTTCTCAGCCAGATTGGAACAGTTTATGTTCTTATAATTCATTTCAACCATCAGCGACGTTTGATAAGGATCTACAAGCAATTGACATCGACAATGATTTACTTCGGTTCAAAACAAGAGAACTACATGAAAACGATATGCTCATGTCGCCACCTTCATAGATATTTATTAATCATTTGTTAAGTAAATTGTTAATCAAATAAACTATATACAATTGTGTTTAAATATCTGTTTTTTATCATTCATAACTCATAATTATAACTTGTCTGTAATTCTGGAACAGAATCCATACAAAAGCCAGTTAATTTTTAATATAGGACTCAGGATTCATATTTTATATACAATGCAGTGTGTGTGTGTGTGTGTGTGTGTGTGTCTGTGTGTCTGTGTGTCTGTGTGTGTCTGTGTCTGTATCTGTGTGTGTGTGTGTAAGCCATATGAAAAAATAGCTTTTTTTGTAAAAAAACTCTTCAATAAAATTGCAAATTATACCTATTTATTACTCAAAGTTAGTCTATCAGTAATAAGTTTGAAAAACAACCGACTGTTTGGAAAATTAATAAGTAGATCCTTAACAGGTTACTCCATTGCAAAGAAGAACCCCTAGTTTTTTTCAAAAAGACTAGGTAATCTTCCATATATGACCTAGACAGATTATATCGGATAGACTTTTTATGAATTTTAAGCCTATATGGACAAAGTAATGTTTAGTTATTGGGTAATGGGTATACATGCATGGTTGCATAATATACCTATATATACATACACATTATAAGTTGTAACAATGTAGTATTATTACGTGTTGCTAAGGCAACTCTAAAATCATAACAATTCATTTATTGTTGCTGTTTTTTTGTTATGTACCAGATTACTTAAAAATAAAAATCTATTTTTCTAATAAATTAGATTATGTTCAATATTACATGCATATGTACAACAGTATAATAGCTAGGTAATTTAAGTTAAAACACGAAAATGGTGCAATTAGAACTAAGTAAAATGTTAGCAGTCTCTGTAGACGACATGAACGAACAGGATCTGGAACAGTGGTATGATGAAATCACAGTAGCCGAATGCGATCAACTCGATTTCCAGTTGGATCGTAAACAATGTGAAAACATGTTTATAATTTTTCGGCGAATATTGATGTATAAAGGAGAACAAGTAAAACAAACACAAAACTACGTATAGAGAGGTAGTTGATAATTTTAAATGCTTTCTATTTTGCTCGATTTGATAGGTCGATTCATTAATGACTGAAATCGAAGATTTGGCCACTAAACAAGGAGAAGAAGAAGCTAGGAGATTGAAAAAAGAAGAAGAAATTAGAACTATTAACGTAGATGATTTATCTCAAAATGACCGTAATTATCATTGATAATTTATTTTACCCCAAAAAAATTTTATTATATGAATAGTACAAAGTGGCCGATGGAAACCTGACATTTTTCAGGCTTTAATTGCATTTAGGACTTTGGGAGGATGGACTCCACCTACCCGAAGTATAAACCTTCATACATTTAGCAAATGTTTAAAATGGCATGTAATTATAAGTAACTTAGAGAATTAAAATTCAATTTTCAGTCAAAAATAACTGAATACTGTTCATTTCAAAAACGTTGGATTTCCTTCGGTAATCTGTATAAATATTAAATAAAATAACTAATAATCTATAAAAGTAAACAAAATATATTATGTTAATATATTAATTTAGTTTACTCGTAATATATCGAGTAACTCTAATAATGTAACAATAAATATATAAGTATTCGAATGCTTATCAATAATGCAACCAAGTATAGTGTAATCGTATTCAAGTTTCCTTTTCATAGATATAGCTAAGTATAATATTAAAAAATAATTATATGTAAGCAAATTAAATCTTTTATTTTGTGATCTAATTTTTATATTTATTATATTTATATATAGTTCAAAACATTTGTGTTAGATGTTTATCAAACATAAATTGTTATTATAATATTATGATATATCTATTAGTTCTGCAGGGTTTTTTGTATCCAAATGGTTTATTAAAAATTGTAATTAATAATTATTTTAATTTATGTAAATTTTAACTGAATAATGTATAATTAGAAACCGAAGTAATCCGGAAGGAATTGACTAGACTTGAACTAGAAAATGAACGTTTATCATCAGATGTTCAACAACAAAAACAAGAAGTTGATTTTAAAGTCAAAGAATTGGATAAGGTCGTACAATATTAATTATTTATTTATTTATATTATGAAATATAAAGTTAAATAAAATACCTAATGATTTTAGATTCTGAGAGGAGCGATGAATATAATTGATTTAACTATGGTTTTTTATTTTTATATAATATATAATTGAATACACGATAAGTTGTCGATAAAATGTTTCGATTTTTAACTTTGAGGGTAATTTTAAATAAAAAATTAAGAAAAAATAAAAATGTTATTACTGAACCAGATTTTGTTTATTATTATTATTTTTTTATTTTGTAATAATTCAAAAACGATCTATAGAAATTTTAAAATTTCACCAAGTATTGATATTTCATAATTTTTGAGTTATTCATAGACAATTTAAATTTTTATATTTTCTTTAAAAGGTTAATAACAAAAATTATGAATGGGTAAAAATGCTAGAAAATTTAATTTAAAGTTCCTAATAAGTAGTTCATTTTCCAATTAAAAACATCAAAAATTTAAAGTCTTAATTTTTTTTAAAAGCATTTAAATTTAGTCTTGACAAAATTCGTGAAAATTCGAAAAATACAAGTTATTTTTAGTTAAAAATACATGAAAAATGTTCTATTATATTTAAGATTTCAAAATTTATTACAAAATTCTACTACATAAATTGTTCTTATATCTATATAAAAATATTAAAAATAAACAGACATTATTTGTTTACATGCATTTGAAGTAAAAATTTTGAAGAAATTCGTCAAAATTGAAAAAATTCTAACTATTTTTTGTTAGAAATTCATACAAACTTTTTTTTGAAACTTTAATACAAGTCTTCTCATAGTGATACTATAACATTTAATACTTATATATTTAATACTAACTAAAATAATTATTTTTGATCGATATTCAAAGTTAAAATTTGAACGAAGTTATTTATTTAAACAATAAATAACAATGTTAATTATTTTTATATAATTTAAAAATATTATTTGTGAAAACTAAAAGCATTTACATATAATATTATTATGAATTTACTATACGCAATGATATTTTAAATTTGTTTTAAGATAATATTTATTTTTAAAAAAATTCTATTTTTCTGTTTTATGGTATACACAGAAAGATAAAATTAAATTTCGAGTTAAATAAGTTTTTATAATATGGTATAAATGTACATAATTATAATAATTAAACACTACATTATCCAAGAAAAAATTATATCGATTTATCGCGACTATCGTAATACTAAAAGTAAAATAAATGACCTTATTATAAATAAAAAAATATATACTACAAAATTTACTTAGTGATATATTATAGGCTGACAAACCGTTTTTGCTCAGAATCATTTTTCATAAATACAATGATATAAAATCATTGAATTCAAATTGAACACACCTATAATAATTAACCACTTGACACCTAATATACAGCAAAGTAATAACCACTAGCTTACTTTTTTAATCATGTATTTATTATAGATATCTGCACAATTATCAAAAGTCGAAAATGAAAGAGATTTTTTACGTCGAGAACTTGATGCTGTACAAGATGATATTTCTGGAAGACAACTAGACGATCAACCAATTGAAGATAACTTAACAATGGCTGAAAGATTTAGAGACTTAACGGAATCTGTTAGACAAAAAAACCAACATATCACACAATTACTTAACGACATTGAGGTATCTATATAATTATTAATTTCATAATTACAAAAGTAAGATGTACGCCCAGAAGGTTGACATTATGGTTCTGCAAACCGTAGCTCATAATTGATAATATACATCATATACAGTACTAATTGTTAGTAAAAACATTTTATTTTATCAACATTTATGTAAATATATTAGAAAAAAAAATTAACGGAAATAAATTTCTCGATTGTCCCCCCTCCATTCTTACCTAATAACTAAACTATTCTACCACTAAAAATATTTAATTAATTTAGGTATCAGAAAAGGAAAATCGAATGTTAAAACAATTATTAGCAAGCACAAGAGATGAGCTTAAAAATGCTACGCAACACCTGAACACATTAAGTGCTGAATTTGGAAACATGAAATGTTTACAGGATGAATATACAGGTTTCTTATTATACTGTTATAATAAATAGTAGGTAAATACTATAATATATTCAAAGGTGGTAAGACGTGGGAAGGGGAATATTTTCCCCCATTATATTTTCTTTTAAGTGTTTTATGAGGACGTTGTACCCGCATATTCTATCTTTGTCTTACAAACACATAACATATACCAAAATACATATTCAGCAGACATCAGTTATAATTTTTCATGAATAACTTAAATATTATAGTAAATGAATCTATTATCAAACATAAAAGTAAGAATAGTTGTGTTATCCCATAGAATTTTCATAATATTTTAATTTTTAAGTGAGTAACGAGTATGTGAAATATTAATATTTAAAAATTCTCATGATTCACTTAAAAATTAAAATACCGTAAAAACTGACAACAAAAAAACATAAAATATTCTTAATTTTAAATTAGACTAGGCTAATTCACTTTAATATTTAAGCTAACACAAAATTTAAACTTTTGGATGTGCACTTTAAGAGTATGTCTTCTCTTTAACTCATTGATTAAACCGTATTCTTTCATAACTTTTCACTTAATTAGTTATTAGTTATAATTTTAACTAGGATACGATATTGCAGAAAACTATATATTATATATATTAAATTACATTTTCAGCAATCAAAGACCCTGGTAAAATCATCATTACTATATCCATAGTACACTTTTGGTCCAATAATTTTTACATTCTTACCATTTTTTTTTTTTTTACTACGTTTAAAATAAGTTATTAATTATTAATTATTAAAAATATTTTGTTTTCGTTTTTCTTCTGTGTAAATATATAGTTAGTGAATACAAAATATTAATTGTGTTTATTACAATATATATTTTATTTACATCTTACATAGCTACTATATAAGAGTTTATTCATAAAGTTTAAATTTTTAAATAATTCTACATAATCTACCTATTTTTTTCTGTTTGAATGCTGAATTCTTTTCAGATAACAATTTAAATTCTATTCATTAAAAAGTCATACGTCAAGTTAAAAATAAGAAAATAATTCATTCACCCATAGCTCCATCCATAAAAAAATAATTGAACAACCACTGAATATGTTTATTACCATAAATACTGTAAATGTTACTAATTATGCATTTCAAAATAATTTCATAGATAAAATTAAAACATTAGAACTGAACGATAAAGGTCTGCGTAGTCAAATTTCTGAACTAGTAGCCGAAAAAGAAAAATGCGAAGAACAAATTGATGAATTAGGCGATGAGCTAGAATCTAGAATAAAACAATTAACGGTAAATATATAAGCTAAAATGTAATCATGAAAATGTATAATATTAAAAATAATATTTTAGGAATTATTGTCAAGAAAAGATGAAGAGATTTTAAATTATAAATCACGGATAGGATCAACGGATTCGATTGAAAATCAAAATACGTATTTAGCAACACTTCAAGAAGTATAATTACTTTATAAATTACTCAAATAGTTTACCTAAAATTGATAAATATATAATTAATTAAACATAATACATTAATACAAATATTAATTAATACGCCAGTGTCAAGTTGTGAGAAAAATAATTAATTAAATTATTCGGTAAATTGTAATGGTTGTTAATCGTGATGGACTAATAAATAAATCATATTTAAATCATCATTAAGCTCATATTTATTTACAATGAGCATTTGATTATAAAATCCTGGCATTAGGCCATTAGGGTGATCATATTTTAAAACTGGTATTCTCGCCATAGAATATAAATCGTAATATATAAACCATATCAGGTTATTAGGTATAATCCTTATTGCTTATATTAAACATATACTCTATGCAACTATATTATGTATTTCTATAATACGTCTTAATGATGGACATTCTAATTTTCGATAAATATTTTTTACGTACATCACTTACCATAAAATTACTTGAATGCATTTATATTCCTATACATAAGATTATAAAAATTATTATTTTAGACAGTAGCCAGGCAGGAAGACCAAATAATGGAACTCCAAAAACAAGTCCATCAAGCAACCAATGATATCAACCGGAGCGCAGCTGCACTTGAACATCAGAAAAAACTATATAATGAATTGTATAATACCTAAATATTACTTAAAAGTTAAGTATATTAATTTAATTTATTATAACATTTATAGACTTATTAAAAATAAAAAATCTCCTGAATTAAAAGATTTGCGAAAGAAATTATCTGAAACTCAAGATCAATTAGAATCGTGTTTAGACAAGTGTCAAAAAGCAGAAGAAGATGCTACCGAGAAAGCAGAACAAGTAATATTAAATATAATTAATAAACTATAATATAGTCATTATAAGAACACACGTTTTTATGTAACAAAAATATGTGTTAAAAACGTGAAATAATATTAAACAAAATTGTTATCATAAAAAATATATATATAAACAATTAAGGATGTCAGCGCACTATTTATTTTTTCTCGTTAGTCCATGAGACTCATGAACAACACAGATAAAACGCATTACAAAAACTATAGCGAGTCATATTTTTAAAGGTTTAACGTATCAGCTATTCGCCTAAATATTATAACAAAATAGTTCATTTAAATGTACAGCTTATTAATTTTTAAAGTCGAATATAATGTTAAATAATTATAAAATATAAAACCAATGCGTCAAACCCTCAAAAATAGTATTTTTTTATCATTTTTATGCGTTTTACTTTAAAATTATTCAAAAACCATTAAGAACGATTTTACGTGAATGCGTTTTGTCCATGATATCGTCTTAAAAAAAAACTGTTCCTCGTAAAGTTTTTTGACAGTGGCGTATGATTGCATGAAGTTTATCAGTATAGATTTTAACTAAAAAGTGTATAAATCCCCATCATCACCAAAGTTAATTCTTAGTTATAATAGTGGTACCTATTTAGCTAGTTTTGAGTTATTTAACTTTAAATAATTGTATACTAAGGTATAATTCAACAAAAACCAATTTGAAAGATAAGCGGAAACTATGATGATCTGAACACTTAAGTATTTAATATACTCAAAAGTCTATCAAAATTTTATAATTTGTAAAAATTATACGAGTATAATAAATACTATAGGTAATATTCAATCCTCACATCTGAGGTATAATTTTGTAAAACCATGTTTACTAATTTATCTTAAGTAGGTATATACATTTTAATAACTCGAAAACTACCCGTACAAATTTTGATTTTGATACATATTCAGATATTCTCATAACAATCTGTTTAATAGTTTAACAGTAAAAAAGATTAATTTTCAATTGCAAAAATAAAAAACGGATCATCACAAGATATTTTATAAATAATTTTAAAAATCTAAATAATTAAAAATAGCAATGAACATACTAGCATCATTTATATTAATTAATTATTAAAGAAAAAAATATGATTTTTCTTTAATATTTTTGGTGCATAAATAAAAACTATATTTTTTAATAGATAAGCAAATTAATAATACGTATTCGTGAATTTGAATCTGGTGAATATGGTTTGGAAGAGGCCACGGAACAGATCAGAAAATTGAAACAAGAACTAGATGTACGAGATAATCAAATAAAAGAACTTATAGATTCGAGCAATCTACTTCATCAAGAAGCTGATCTGTTAGAGCAAGATAATTTAGCCATGAAAGAAAAATTGGGTTTGCCAGTGGATGAAGTTGTAAGACCAAAAGGCATGATGGCTAGACATAAAGAAGCACAAACAAAAATAACTATGTTACAAAATGAACTGGACGAATGCAAGGAAATTATTGTCAATCTTAAATTAAAAGTACAGTTTTTTTACTATTAAAAAATGTAAAGATTATTTTAATTTAAATGTATTTCAGAATCGTAATTTGAATAAATCTACTGAGTCTATTAAATATATAAGTTCAGACGGGGAAGACGATAAAGGTCTAATTCTAAATAAATCTGAGATTACCAGGCAAGAAACAGATATTGGATTTGAACTTGAAGATAATGTTAAAGAATTAATCGAAGAAAATGAATCACTTAGAAAAGGAATGCATGAAATACTTGATAGTATACATAATCAAGATGGTAATACTACTAATACTATACTTACCAACTGTTGTTTATTTAATTTATTAATTTAAACAATAGGTAATTACTAATTAATAAAATATCAACAACAAAATTATAAATTCAGTTTTCAAGTGTTTAATATTTAAATATCTAGGTACCTATATTGTTATCTATTCTATTTAAATGATTATTTATTTGAAATTTTAATAATTCTATAGATAAATTTATTGGGATTAACTGTCTTAACTCATAATATACTTAATCTTCGTAAAATATCTTAACTGATAATTAATTATATTAATAAAATGATATGTATGGTTAAACTTAGGATTAAGTGTTGTACGAATTGAATGTCAAAGCTTAGAGAGACTTTTAGAAGCGATGGATGCCAGACACGTAGCTGGATGGTATCAACCTGGCATGCGATTATTGGCTAGGATCAATAATTTGGAAGGTGTAAACTCAAATCTAAGACACCAAATTCATTTATTACAGTAATTTTTAAACAATTTAATTTTATTAAAAATATTATTAACTATTATTACATTATAATTTTATTATAATAAAGTGATGCGCTAACTACAGCCAAACAAGAACTTATCAATACACAGAAAGAAGAGATAAAACTAAAGAAGCATAATGTATCAGAAGAAATAAAAGGAGATGAACTTTCAGAAAATCTTAAAGAAGTAAAATATTTGTAATGTAGATTAGCTTTGTTTACAATACCTATAAAGTTACAGATTGAGCAAAAAAAATCTCTTCAATTAGAAGAAGAGATAAAATTATTTCAAAATAAATTCCAACAATTACAAGATGAAATGAAATTAGTAAATGATGAATATGATAATGAAAAACAAAAAATTAAATCATTGGTAGATAAATTAGAACTAGAACTAAAAATAACTCATAATAAAGAAAATGATTTGAAAGAACGTTTTCTTGAATTAGAAAAATCATGGAAAACAATGCTTGAAAATCCAGATCAAATTAAACGTCAGCTTTCTTATAATGTTATAAAGTAATCAATTTATATAATGCCTATATAAATGTATGTTTTATATTAACATTTATACATTTTATAATAATTAGAGTTACAGGATTAACTGAAGAATTACAAGTGGTTAAACGAATGTATCAATGTTGTCTCGAAGAGGAACAAGTTTTAAAGAAAGAAAAACAAAAAGCGGTTGAAGAAGTATGGACACTGAAGGCAACCTACAGCAAGGAAATAGAAAATTTATTAAAAATTCAAGTACATAAAAATATACCTATTAGTCTACAAATCTACAAATTAACATCTAATATTTTATTTTTTCAATTATCTAAGGAAAAGCAAAAAAATGAACTAAAAAAATTGAACGATCAAATGAAAAATGTAGTCGACATTGGGGAGTATAAAATATTAAAAAATGATTTTGAAGTTTTAACTGCTAAGCACAGAGAAATATTACATTTAGTTTTGTTTAAGGTACATAATTTATGAATAAGCTAATGATTAGTTGTAGTAAATAGTTTTAAATACTAACCTATTATTCATATTTTATTAATTATTATACACGAAGACATGAGATGTGCAACTATATATCTTAAATAATAACATTAATAGTATCATTGATTAAATAAAGGTACTATTATGTATAATATATATACTCGCCAATATAATATGTATACTTAATTAATGGTAGTATTTTGTAAGGTAGTTAAAATGGTTTAAATAAGTTTAAATAGAATAAAAATAAATTTTTCTCTAGGAGGATACATTAAAATTATCATTAGAAAGATTAATGACTGAAGTTACTCTCTTAAAAGATCAACGGTTACATTTTGTGATCGAAGTAGCCAATTTTTATGGAACAGATGATGAACTAACTTCCATTAAGGCAGAAAATATCATTTCTAATCAAAGAGCAGAGCATTCAGAAAAAATGTATTCACTTCTAAAAGGTTATTATTAATTTTATTGAATTTGGATAGTTTATAGGATAGAAAAAATTATAAAATTATTTTTTCAAAACTTAACATGTATGAATTGTATGTATTTTTAAGATCAAATGGAAGAAATGGAATCTAGATGTAAAAGTCTCGAGCAAAATCTATGTGATATGCTTGAAGCAAATCTACAATGCCAGACTGAAGAAGTGCGATTACGTGAAACAACAGTTAATATGGTGGATGAATCAGAATATACTAGAATGTGTGACCAATTAAAAGATGCCCACAATAGTTTAGTAAGTAAATTTAAAATATTTTATATGTTATATAATTTTAACTATAACATTTATGATGTATATATTTATTTCAATATTTGTATGGTTTTAGGAAGAAGCTGTTGGAGAAAGAACTAGATTATTAAGAATTCTAGAAATAGCTCAGAATCAAGTACATGATCTTGAGCAACATCACAAACGATTAGACCATCAACATGATGTATTGCAAAGACGTGTCATAGAACTTCAAGCCTTGAGTGATGAAAAAGCAACAATAGGTAAGCCAAATTTTATATTAACTTACATAATTTATCTTCAAAAAAATTTTAATGCAATAATTACAGACAAATTAATGCGTGAGATTGCAAATCATGAAGTCAATCTAATGGCAGCTTCTGTTGAAGAAACAAAACTTAAGACTATAATACAAGATCAACAAGCAAATATTGCTGGATTAGAATGTAAAAATGATAGAATTTTAGAGCAACATGAATCAATAACTCTTTATTATAGAACAAAAATATCGTAAGTTAATGTAATTAATAAAAACTTAATTTTTAGGCAACACCATTTATACTAGTGTTTAAAATCAATAATAACACATAATATTTTACAGACGATTAGAAAAGATAATTTTTGAGTTACAAAGACGTTATCATGGAGCTATTCCATTAGTGTCAGAACAAATATGGGTTCATCATAAACAAATACTAGAAGAAGCATTAACAATAACTTATAGAAAGTGGGTGTGTGATAATAAGCCAAATGATATCGATGAAATAATCTTTATTCCAACAAAAACTACAGAAGATTATCGTTCAAAGTACACAGAACTCCAATTAAAAGTAACCAAAATAATTAAAATTAATAAATTATAGTGAATAATTTAAAAAAAAAATAAAAGTAACCAAAATAATTAAAATTAATAAATTTTAGTGAATAATTTAAAAAAATTTTCAGGAGCTTAAAGTTCAATTGATTTGCAATGATTTACAAAAAAAAAATCAACTTTTCATAGAACGCATTGAAAAGCAAGACTGTTTTATTGAAAGTCTTGAGAAAGAAATAATGCGAATGGATTCTGATTGTATGCATAGCTATCTGTCATGGGGAATTCAGGAATTTTCTAATGATTCAAAATCAAAACCAAAAACACTAGATAAACAAATTAGCGTACAATCAGAAAATAATTTTAGAACATTAGAAGGAAAATTAGAAGATCTTAATAAACAATTAACAGTTGTAAGCAGAAATATTTTTAATCATTTATACGTAATATAATATTTAATAAATAACACAATTATTACATATAGGCAAATAACAACATTCTTATCCAAAAAGAAACTAATAATTTAACTATCAAAAAACTTCAAACAACTTTAAAAGAACTGGAAGATGTCAAAGTTTGTCTAGAAAAAGAAATATTTGAAAAAAATGATCATATTAGAAAACTGACTGTCGAGTTAGCATCTAATGACATCCCTGAAGCTAATACTCAAAATCCCGCTTTATTGGCCACAATAGAAAGCCTAGAAACAATTATTAGTCAAAAAGAAGAAACTATAAATAGACTTCAAGAGTTATTAAAAGAATGTAGAGAAGATCATACAAAAGAAATAATTGAATTACAAAAAAATGCTGAAGCACAAAATTTTAGTATTAGAGAAAAGTAAGTATTATTAGTAGAGAAGGTATATATGAAAGTAATAAATACAGGATAAGTAAAAGGTGGCAACAATAAGATTGAAGAGTGTATTATGTTTATGAAGAAATTAAAGAATTCTGTATAAGAGTAGGTATACCTATGCAAGGGTTCAGCGTTGAGCTCTTATCTATTCTCCTTGGTATATTACTAAAAATGATAATGGGACAAGGCGTACAATTAAGATGGGGGATAATAATATGCTATGTGAGGTTTAAACACTTGTTTGATTGTTTGTACAAAATAATGGTGATTTTGAGAATAACATAAAAAATATTAAGATCAATAAAATGAAGAAAAGTGTCAAGTATTCTGTGTGACAAAAGGATACCATTGAGACAAAAAATTAAATTTTATAAAGTAGTTATGAGGCTAGTCATGTTCTATGAATCATAATTTAGAGCTGTGGTTAATAAAACAGAAAATAGTAAATGTAACAGAGCAAGAATATTTAAATAGATCTGAGGAGTGAATAAGGAAAATAGAATAAGAAATTAATTAATTAGGATTATTGGTTGTTTAGGAGTGGTGATTCAGAATCAATGATAATTCCTATAAAAATGAATATAGAAAAAAAAATATGGAAAAAAAAGATGTACTGATGAAATAGAATATGATGTAAACATATGTGAAGTGAGAGTAAAGATGAGTTTAAGGACAGAATTCTATGGAGGCGGAGCACAAGGAATCGACCCTGTATAGTTAGAATCAACGGGACTAAAAGAAGAAATAGAATTTAGCACTTTTGTCCAATCACAGTTTATTTATACACTGTATGAATGAATTATATTATGCCACAAACTAATAATTATGAAATAACATTTATATTTTTAATCCAAAATAAATATTTATAAGATAATTGCTTGTTTATAGTTGTTGAAACATATTATATATAAATATATATTAATTTAATTATTTAAAAAAATTTAAGATCACAAAAAGATATTTCATCTCCTATTCACTCAAATAACATTAAATCAGTTGTAAATCAATATATGATACGGATAACTGATCTAGAAGATAGAATTAAACAAGCTGATGACGATCTTAATCAAGCAAATTCTGAAAAAGAACACTGGAGTGGTGTAGCTGAAAGAAGGCTTAAAGAAATGGAACAAATGAAATCTGAAGATGACTCAAAGGAAAAGGATGCTGAAATTGTTAGACTTAACGAAATAATAATGGGATTTCAAAATAGAAGAGATACCCTACCAGCTCAAAGAGACCGACTGAGAGTTGAACTAGACAAAATGAAAAAGAAATTGAATGATTACGAAAGACGTGAAAAAGAAGATAAATCAGAAATACAGAAATTAAGGCAACAATTAATTTACAGGTACAAAAATGTATGAAGTAATTTTTTCATATAAATTTATAATGGATTATCTTTTATAGGCCCCCAACTGGAGGAAAACGAGATGAAGCTATGTCAGTTGTTAAAGAAGAAGTACTGCTAAAAAAAATTAAAACATTAGAAATACAACTTGATGATTATAAAAAAAAAGATGAACAAAACAAAATGCTACGAAAATTAAAGGTTTTTAAATAATAATAAATATTAGTATAGTATAAGTACTCTAAACTTTTTTCAAATATCATAGTTCTTATTTAATATTAGCATCAAAACCAAGGAAATGAGATATAAAATACAAATTTTATATTACATTTACACATTCATAAATATCATATATACTTTTTATGCAATTTAGACAATAATTTGATGAATTAATTAGTTATACAAGATAATTGTAAATATAAATCACTTTATCTTAACTTTTTTTTTTCAAAAATTTTTAGTCAGATGAACAAGTTGGTAAGTGGGAGATGAATAAACGACGTCAAGTAACAAATGAAAGGTTACAAAATCAATTACTAGATATGACTAGAGAATGTGATTCACTTCGTTTAAATAATCAAAGGCTGAGAGATAATTTAATGAGAATGGAAAAAGATAGAAATGCTTTAGAAATAAAACTTAAATTAGCTAATGGTAAATAAATTATCATTTATTAATCACATTGTATTTTTTTAAATATAAGTAAGTATATGATTTAAATGAAACTATTTATGGTTAGCTACAGTACAATCAAGCGCATTGGCAAATAGTCTAGTCGATGAATTGACTTTAGAAAAGGATAGATTGTCTAATGAGTTATACACTTTGCGTACTGCTAAAGAAATGATGTCTGGTGGTACATCATTAGCTGAAGTTGTAGTTGAACTTCGTCGAAAAATATCAACCTTGGAACTATTACAAAAAGTATATTGACATTTTATTTAAAAAAATCAAGAAATGTAAAATAATCATAAATTACTAATTATATTCTTTAGGGTGGAAGTAATGCTTTAATTAAAGAAGTAGAAACATTAAAGGATAGTAAAAGTAGATTGTTGAAAACTAAAGCTGCACTTGAAGAAGAAAATGCTCGATTAAAAAAAATTGTTGATCGTTTGCAATTAACAGATAATTTGTTCGTTTTTATGTTAAACTGTATTAAAATAATTTGATTAAACAATATATTAATTTTAGGAGTGGTATATCCAGCTTAAGTTCAGATTCAGATTATCCCAGTACAGATAATAAGCGAACTGCAAAACTAGAACGCTTAGTAATAATGTTAAGAACTGCTGTGGATAAACTAAAAGAGGAAAATAAAAATTTATCACTTGAACGTGTAGTTACTAACATTGATGATAAGGTACCTATTATTAACAAATTTAAATATAGCACTATGTAAAGACTAAAAAAGATGTCTTTTCTACTTAATAGAATATAAATACTGTGTACACAGATATAAAAATTAAAATAATATAATTTCATTTTTATGCCGATATAAAACAACAAATTTTTGATTTAAATTCATAAGTTTTACTAAGAAAAACTGTTGTAAATATTTCTGAAATGAAAATATTTTCAGTAATTCTGCAACACATTATACTTAAATAAAATTTAAAAAAACAATATTACTCATATTATTAAATTATTGTTATGAATAGAGTTATGTGGAAAAATTGCAAAGTGAACTTCAGACTACACAAACCTATTATTTGGATGCTTCTGAAAAATGCACACAATTAGAACAGCAATTACAAGATTATCGTTCACAGTATGAAGCTGTTATTACAGAAAATGAAAGTTTAAAGAACCAGTTGGAAAAAAAATGTTATTTATTAAACAAAACAAAAACTATGTTACAAAAAGCAGCGGCCAGAGAACAACTAACAATGGAATATCCAAATAGCTAAAATATTAATAATCCTACTTCCATTGAATAATTGATTAAATAATGTACTTATATGGTACAGTTCATTTATAGGTCATACTTCCTTAATTTAAATAACTATTTATTTTTTAACTATTCAAATAATATTTGCTCACTTAAAACTACATTTTATATAGTTTTTTAAAACGTTTATACAATTTCTCACGTTTTATTTATTATATACATTCTTTTTTTTTATATTTATACTTTTTGCGTGTTAATAATATTTAATTTATTAAAAAATTGTTTGATATTATACTATAATAGTATAATATATAATAATTATTGTGAATACTATTTGAATTATATAATTTCATAAATTTATAATGTTGAACTAACTATAATTCAGAAAATTAATAACTATTGTTCTGCATAATTTTACAGTCTATTTTTTATTTTCAAGAGTTAGTTGATAAAATATTAACTTGATTCATATTAAGTTCTTGAAAAGAAATAAATGTATTTGAAGACTACTTCAATGGACAACTCCTTCGACAAAGCAGTGGCAGCAGGATATAGGATTATTTGAAGCAATTGCTTCATGTCTGAAGACTGAAAGTCCTTTGGCCACTGCTACTTATTAGGGGTGGTGGTAAAAATATTTAAAATATACAACATGCTTCAAAGCCTCTACAATTTTTCGCCGCTACTACAACGAAGTATACTATCCATATATTTTGTTTTTTATACACTATACTTACTATAGTATCTTTTTTAAAAAAAAAAAAAGATTATTTACTTTATTAACCAAAAAATATTATGAACGGTAAAAATACATCATATAGTTATACTGATATATATACATGATAAAGTACAATACTGTATATGTTATTGATTTATTATATATTAAGTTAGTATATATATTGTTATATATATATATATTGTTCCATTTGTTACAATTCTTATCCCTAAACTAATATGATAATATTTTTTTAATTCAAAATTAAAATTAGATTTTTATGAAATATTATTTTCATTTATAATATACATAACTCATAATTTAAACTTTTTTTTACATATATAGATTTACAATCTATATTCTATTTGATATATTTTTTTTATTTCTTCTTTTTTATCTTTTCACTTATAGATTTACTATTATTAGTTGCTCTATAAATTGTGTTCTAATTATTTTGTTTTACTTTAAGTTGAAAAATGTATTTTTTAACAACAAATTTATCATTTATCATCATATTATGTATCAATATCTGACCAATAATTGTAAGACTTCAAAGAAGCTCGTATAAAACTTACTATTTTTGTTTTTTTTGTTAATTATACAAAATTGTAAAATAAAGTCCTGACACTTGACAGTGCCTCTTTTGAAATTCTAAAAATAAGATGTTAAGTCGAGATGTAGGTATGCTAAAATATATATATTTTTTTTTTTTAATTAAAGAGCTTTGATAACTATGTTTTTTTTCAATATAAAAACTGATGTCAAAGTATAGCTATTGCATGATTACTAAAATATTTTAATATTAGTGTACAACTAATATTATTAAATCTAAAAGCGAATTTGTCAGTGATGTTAATTAATAGTAATATAACCTACTGGATAAATTTAATTTACTTTACTGTATTGATGTCTTCGTATTTATGTAGGTATATTTTGAAACATTACAACCATTGATTAAAAATACAGTATACTTGTACACTACAAATCAAAACTGTATTAAATTAACTATATTTAATTAAATTAATTTAAATTTAAACAATGGAACTTCTCGTCAAGGATCTAAACTATAACATAATAATTGAATTATTTAAATTAATAATATTTAATATTATTCTGCATATGTATATCATCTAGCTTAGTGGTTTCCGCAGTTCTGTGTACGGTGTTTGTACCTCGTAATTTCGTATTAATCGTACTATATAGATGATAACACTGTGTGATAAGTGATAAGGATAACACCATACCGTGCAAGTTGAAGTAAATGTTTTTAAATAGGTTCCACAAACTACAATTCACACAGGCAAAAAGTAAAATTCTTTAAATCATTAATCAAAACTCACACAATACATAAATAACTTCAGTTCAGTTTACATTGCATTAGTATTTAGTGCACTGTGACAAAATGGCTTGCAGAAACGTCAATGTGCAAAATTTATCAAAATTTGTTAGATATTTTTCACAAAAAACCACCGAACAAGGTAAAGTTAACAATAGATATCTCTGACATCAAAAATTAATAATTTTAATTCAATGAGCTTAAAAATAAAATAATATACACTATCGATATACTCAATCACATCGCGATCTGAAATATGATGTCATATTTCATTTTAATGGAAATTCAAAATTTTATAATGTTATGTCAAAATAATAAACTGAAGATTTTAATAAGACTTTTTTTTAATTCTCTAGAAACAAAACTTGCTTCCAGAATGGGATTCATTAGAGGTAAACCGTTGTATTTAGATGCACAAGCCACAACCCCTCTGGTAAGTATAATTAATTTTAAAATTATTTTCAGACATGAGAAATAATATAATAATATACTTTTAAAATGTAATTGGAAATAATACTTAAATATTAACAAAGAGTAATATTTGAAACATTTATTTCAATATACTCTTGTACAAAATTTTATTATTTGTCATTATTTAATCATTATTGATTTGTATTTTAAAATAAAAACTAAAAAAAAAATTGGCTTCAACTGAGAAGTTATGTGGAAAAAATTATTTTCTTTAAATCATTTATAGGTTTTGAAGTAATGAGCGTTATTTGATAAAAAAAAAAAATCCTGTATAAATACACTGAATAAAAGATAATACAAAGTAATTAACAACAAATCTTAAAATAGTTCCTTCTTTTTCTTTAACATTTAAACAAATAATTGCAGGAAAACCTGTCTATCACATTAGTTTTCTATTCATGTAATTGTTTATCATTTAAATAAAATAAAAAAAAAAAAAAAAATATAATAATTAAAAAGTTTGTATTAGAATACTTCAGGATAAAAGTATTTCTTATAAGTTATAACCCTTATATCTATTAAAATGTATAAATCGATTAATGTTTTTAAAATTTTAATCATAACTTCTACTATATGATACTTTTATTATTTCAGGATCCTAGAGTTTTAGATGCTATGATGCCTTACATGACATATAGTTATGGAAACCCACATTCTCGTACTCATATGTATGGTTGGGAAAGCGAAGAAGCCGTGGAAACAGCTAGACAGGTATTTTATTTTTAATATAATTTTAATTAATTGTATTGTATTTGTAATTTTAAGAATATTTTTAGCATATATCAGATTTGATAGGTGCCAATCCCAAAGAAATTATATTCACATCTGGAGCAACAGAATCTAATAATTTAGCAATTAAAGGAATTGCTCATTTTTATAGAGCTAAGAAACGACATATTATTACTACACAAACGGTTGGTTTATCGACATTTCATTTATTTATTTAATTTTAATCAATACATTAACATTTTATATGTGGAATAGGAACATAAATGTGTTTTAGATTCTTGCCGTGCTTTGGAAGGTGAAGGTTTTGAAATTACATATTTACCAGTTTGCTCGACGGGTATAATTTCCCTTGATGAATTAGAATCTGCAATTCGCCCCGATACTGCACTTGTTTCCATCATGGCTGTAAATAATGAAATTGGAGTAAAACAGCCAATCAAAGAAATTGGTGAAAACAATTTAAAAATTAAATAGGTCGCTAATATAAATTTATAATTTAATTATTTTTATAGGAAAATTATGTAAGTCAAAAAAAGTATTTTTTCATACTGATGCAGCTCAAGCTGTTGGTAAGATTACTGTTGATGTTAATGATCAAAATATTGATCTTATGTCTATAAGTGGACATAAGTTATATGGACCAAAAGGTATAAAATTTAAAACAAGTTTTTATATTTTATAAACAATATTAAAATATTTTCTTATTAAAAGGTATTGGAGCACTTTTTGTTCGGCGTAAGCCAAGAGTACGTTTAGAACCTCTTCAGAGTGGAGGTGGTCAAGAACGAGGTTTAAGAAGTGGAACTGTTCCAACACCAATAGTTGTAGGATTTGGTGAAGCATGTAGGATAGCTAAACAAGAAATGGAGGTTAGTAAAATATTTATATACAATTATTACAATTTATTTATTCATTAACTCGCATTTATATAATGACATGTGATATTATAATCATTTGCATCATGTTTTATTATTTAGTATGATCATGCTTGGATGACAAAACTTTCAAATTTACTCCTTGAAAAGATTACCAAAAGTCTCCCAGAAGTTGTTCGCAATGGTGATGCTGTTCATACTTATCCAGGTTGCTTGAATTTATCGTTTGCATTTGTTGAGGGAGAATCACTTCTTATGGCCCTCAAAGACATTGCGTTATCAAGTGGTAGTGCATGTACGTCTGCATCTTTGGAGCCCTCATATGTGTTGCGTGCTATTGGAGCTGATGAAGACTTGGCACATTCTTCTATTAGGTATTATCTAGTCAGTTTAACCATTCAATTATGTATATATATATATATATATATATATATATATATATATATATATAAATAACTAGAAATCAGATTTTTGCGCTTAATAAACATCTATAATGCTTTTTTACGGTTCAAATTTAGTAAATATTCCCTTGCGTGTTTTTACAAAAGTATCAAATATTTTAAGTTCCAAGTTAAAAATACAAAATGTTACACATATAATAAAAATAAAAATATATGTATCTATTTAAAAAAAAAAATAACAATTTATTTGATATCAAATTTGAAAATTTGAATGGATTCCGGATGCTCACTGTTCAAGATTAGGTCTTCTGAGTTATTATTTATTATTATTTCAACAGAAAAAAATATATTACATTAATACTCAGTTAACAAACAATATGGTCATTAAAATCTTAATTTTATATACTTATATTTAACTATAAATTTTAATTTCTTTTAACATATAAAATATATATATATGAAATATTTCCAAAATATATGTGTGAAACGTTCACTAACATTTAAAAATGTTGTGTAAATATAAAATACTTCAAAATGAAATTTCAATAAATCTTAATCAAATCATACTGAATTCCCTCAATAAAATGTTGTAAAAATGTGGGTACTATATAATCTTTATATATAACTTATACATCTTATAGATTTGGTTTTGGACGTTTTACAACTGTGGATGAAGTTTTATACACCGCTGAAAAATGTATAAAACATGTTCAACGGCTACGAGAAATGAGGTTAGTTTTTCAAATGAATAAACTTAATTAATTTTAACAAATAATATATTTAATTTACACTTAACTTTAGTCCGTTGTGGGAAATGCATCAAGAAGGAATTGACATCAAATCTATCAAGTGGTCTCAACATTAAGATTCAACTAATCAAATCTCATTAGTGAATTAGGTATGTCTGTGATTAATAAATATAAATGTATAAATTTTAGATAAATGAATGAATCAGAAAAATATCTTAGTAATCAAAATTAAAACAGTTGTAGAGCAGTGCAATTTAAATGTATTGTTCTTAAATAAATACGACTATAACCATGTTGAAATAATGTGTTTATTTTTTAATAAATAAATCACTTGGAATTAATAATAGTTAAAAACCTATAAAATATTATTAACTTCATTCGTAATACCTAATAAATTACTATATGTAATTAGGTATCCTACATTTATCAAATGTATTAATAGGCAATTTCAGATTAAAATCAGTATCTATATAAATCTATTTCCATTTGAGTCCACTTAAATCATAAATATATCACTTATTACTTAATACTAGGACTCAGAAGTTATAATACTAAAAAAGAATATTTTTAATGCTATAATATGCACTTAAAAATACCAAATAATAGTATAACAAATTTATACATAATATGTAAAATAAAATTGTCTACAAAATATTTTTAAATTTTTATTATACAAAAACAATTTTAAATTTTTTTTATGATACAATATTATTTATTTATTTTTGGATTTGATAGTAAGCATTTAAGAACTATAGGATTTTATCTGTCACTCTAAACCTGATTATCTTAGTAAAATACTTTGACAACAAATTTAAAAATTTATATTGCATTAATAAATTTACCTACAGTTTGAAAATCAAAATACATGTTTTCATTCACACATTTGTATATTTTATTGAATTTATATTATTTATTTCCATTAATATATACAAATAAGCCTATACATAACATTTAGATCTCTAAATTAGCAAAATAGCATTAAAAACCTTTTATATGCATAAATTAGTAATATAACATTTTTTATAAGATATCAGGACACCATGGAACCAATTTGTAACTTACTTTTGATGTTCTATAACTTACCAGAAAAAATATGCATTTGTTAAAACTTTCAAGCCCTGGGCATTGCTTCCAAGTTTAATATATTATAATTCATAATATTTTTATCAGTGTAATATGCTTTGTAACTATATAAGATTGTTAATATTTTTGAAAAATATTTTTTACTCATTAACTAAGAGAATTACAGTAATTAATTTTAAACTGTTATAAGGTTTGGTGTAATTTCATCAGCTGTTTGTTTACGACGTGGTTTCATGACATTCAAGACGTTAACCAATGTTGCTAGACGACCACTCAATACATTTTCAGGTTCTTCGTCTAGTTTTTCTACAGAAGAATCTAAAAATATATATTGAAAAAAATGTATTAAAAGATAACTATATAAATTTAACACTCATACCAAAATCTGATGATTTTGGAGACTTTTTTAAACTTGGCGTAGTAGTTTTAGTTGATGATAATACTTCATCAGATGCCTCTACTGTTTCATTGCTAGGAATTTCAAGTTCTGATTGAAGTCGTTTTAGTGCTATGTAATTTGTATGTAAAATTAACATATAAACATAACATTAATTACAGTTAATACCTTTTAACAGGTCCATGTTATCCATTTCAGTATCACTCAATAGACGTAATTGTTTGCAAAATTTTGTCGTAATTTTACGACGTATAAAATCAGCTTCTATCTCTTGTTTAGTCCTGGGAATTCGAAATCTTACACAACAGCACATAAACACCACTATAAAATTATTTATTTATTAAATAATTTTAATTTTGTGTATGATTATAAAATGTACCTAATGTGAAGAAGACCGTCATGATGAAAAAAATAATGTGCCATACACGATAACCATTGATTAGCTGTGCTTCTAACCATTCCTCTTGATTACTGTTTGACGCTTTACCTAAACTCATTGATGTCTTAAGATCATTTGTTGCTATCACCTTAAAGAAAATTGTAAAGTATTTTAATTGTTTTATGAATTACTATTGCTGTTGTTATTTTATTTTTTTGTAAATAAATTCACTTAATATAGTAAAAACACTACTTGGTTTATTTTTACTGTTATTGTCAGATAAATATAATTATCACTTTACAACAAATATTAATAATCAATTCAAATCTCATTTTATTTGAAATGTTGTAATTTTATATAATGTTTTGTTTCTGTACTTTAAATCATACATAATCGATAAGCCTAGTGCTATTCTTAAAATTTATAACTGTACCTATTTATACAGAAATATTTTTTCAAATGTCTCCAATATATATGAAAAAAGTAATAATATCACATAAATTTCAGTTATACACAGAACACAGTTGCAGACATTTTCATTTTACAGCACAACAATCCACTCATAATGATATTATTTATTAATATTTAAATGTTCTGTACTTTGGTCTGTCTAAGTAAAATATGGAACAAAATATAATGATATCTAGTGATGCTTATTATTTTTTATTCTATCATAAAGAAACTAATTAAATCTAATCATATAGTGAGCCTTATTGTCAACAAAAATAAAACTAAATATATAGTAATGATTCGTGTAATGAACAAGGCAGCTCTAAAAGTATGCCTTAGATACTTCTTTGAACCATAACATGTCTTTAAATACCTATCTAGGAGTTAACATAAACACAAAATATGATATGCATAATAAAATTCGGTTAAGTATAAGTACTATAAATAAAGTCTAATTTGCTATGAACAATATGTTCAGTTCTAAGCTACTGTTTAGAGACACGGAAAATAAATAGTGTACTTTCTACTTGCGATTGATAGGAAATCATGTAAGCGAGACATATGGTCTATAATATCAAAAGGCGAAGAAAATCACTTATTTTCGAAACAAAAAGCTACGAAATAATTATGATTTTAAAATAAACCAAATATCAGTTTTTTCTTAAAAGCAAAACAATTGAAGTGGACTGGTCATATTTGATGAGCTGATGAAAATGCACTGATTTGAAACCCAAAAAAACAGTGATCAAAGGGAGGCACATGGTTAAATAAAATGAAGCTTAGGATATTTTGAATATCGATAAGTTTATTCAAATGGACTGACAATCAGAATGTACAGAGAAGTTTGGTAGAAACATTCCTTAAGGTCTCAATGACCTGTTTAATACTAAAAAAGTGGTTATTTTGAATAAGCTTATGATTTCATGATTGGTTCTAATAATTATTATATTGATGTCTATGTTTATTGTGCTTCAATTTTATTGATTCCTATGTTATATATTATTGCAAAATTTCAACGATGAGCATCCCTTTATAAATAAATCTTTTAGCATGAGATAAAATTATGTTTTAAAAAATATGCGAACATCTCTCCAAAGTAGATAACTTTTTAAAAAGTAAGCAAAACGAAATTATTGACAAATTTTGAAAAATGTTTATAGGTAACCCAAGGTTTTGATATTAATCATAAAAAAATCGATTTGTTAAGAATCTATTTAATTAGATACATGATACCGTCTTAGCTTGGTACCTAAACATGGTTATTAATTATATGAAGAAAAAACTATGGATACTCGTATAATTTTTAAACCATATAAATTAGTGTGCAAACTATGAACTATAGCCTATAATAAATTAATTAAAGCATGAGCATATCAGTACGTGAACGCTTTAAAACGAATTTTTAGTCGCTTACATCATCTAACGGCATGCAACTTTTATATTCACTTTGTCGAGACATTATCCCTGTACGCAGCACATCAATGCACTAAAGTCCTAAAATTTTGGTCTGAAAAATACAAGTACCACACCCATTTATGATAGTTTTTAATTTCGGTGTACAAACGATAAAAGCAATGACACGCAACTTACAAATTCTCAAACATGTGCCACACCTAAATACTACCTACCTATGTTACACGATATAGTTGACCTACAGATTTATCACAAATGCCAATGTATGTGACAATTTTAGTCAAAAGTCATTGCCCAATTACTAAAATTATTATTAATTAATTAGAATTGATTTATTAGTTTGGGAAAATATAATGTATGGGATATCTTCATAAACCGTTATATATAATACAGTCGATTATATTTCCTATTATTATTATCTACGTAATATTAGTACTTAGTACTTTATGAGTGATCCACTTACCACTTGAGTGAGTGTTCTAAAATTTTTTATTAGTTTTCAGTATCACTCTTAAACAGCCTTTATTATTCTTATTTTATTTTTTTTTTTTTGTTATAAAATTGTATGAATTTTCGACTAATCCATTAATCAATTTGTTTCTGCTATTATAGTTGTTACTTTTTACCGTTATTTATCGATTAAATTGTTTTAATTCTCCAGGAATATTAACTATATTAAATGTTAATTAAAATAATAATTTATTGTTATTATTTTATATTTTTATGGGTTACCCTTAGTTATATACGAAAAAATAAAAATATATTTTGAAAAATATACTAAAATATTCCAATCGTGTACATTCCATTATTTCAGCTCCAACATAATAAAATTGAAAACTATTTGCCCATATAAACAATATAATGATAATATAAAAAACATATTATATTAGGAATTAAATAGGTATAGGTATTATATGTTTAAATTTATATAATTATGAATAATAATAATTTTTTATTTATATTTTTATAATTCTATTTAAATATGAACAAGCTTTTCATTATTCAAACTACCTATATTTAAATATGTACTGCATATTGTCCATTATAAACGTAATTATAAACAGTACTATTTAATTAATGAAAAAATTTGATGTGTGTTGCACTGTTGCTGTAGGTATTGTACAATAGGTATCGATATCGAACGAGTCACTCATTAATGGATGTGTTAAATTTGAATTCAATGATATATCATTGTAATTTGTATTATAGTCTATAAGTACATGAAATAGATAATCTGTCAGCCATCAGCCTTTATTACTGTAGGTACATGTTATACAAATTATGTAATGATTCAAATTGAATTTATTGAGTTGGCAAGATATCATAAATTCTTAGTTTGTGTATTATTATTTTTATTATAATATTTAATTACTATCAAATCAAACAATAATATTAATATGAAATGGTTTTATTTTTTTTAATACAACATATAGGTTATAGGTAAGTAGTCATCATACATATACAGGATTCTTTTTGTAAAACAAAACACATTATTATATATCAATCCTGAAAATAAATAATATTTATTTTTATATTTTTTATACATACTTAGTTTAAAACTTTTTAACATATAATGGTTATTTTTTAAGTGATAATTCACGTTTTTAATTTTATTTTCTTAATATAGATAAAAATATACTTATAAAAATATCAGTGCAATTACTTATTAAGTATCAGAAATTCCTATTGAATTTTTAGTATTTTATTTTCTACAATACATTTTTTACTGTTATAGGTACTCGGGATTGGTAAACTGGGTCTCGGAAAAAATAGATGTTATATTTTTTAATATCTTATAGGTAATATTTATTATAAATCAAATTAATAATAGGTATATTTTATAACCATGGTATAAATTGTTAATTAAAAAATTAATTTTTATTATTATAGTTACATTCACTGATATAGTTCATAATTATTGATTTTTTTTATAATGAAGATTATTAATTTCAGCCATTTAATTATTTTAAAAGACTTTTAGATAATAACAAATAACAATATACCTAATATCAATGAACAAAATAGTGTATCAGCTTGTCACAATAACATAATATAGTGCAGTATTGTAATTTTTAATTAATACCGACAATAGCTTGTATCGCATGTATCAAATTCATAATAATTAGACAATTAATCGCTAAATCATATTTACTAGAAAATGTTTAATGAATTAATTATACTTAATACAATTAGTAACTACACAAGTGTGAAGACTAAAATTATCTGAAATACCATGTTACAAAAAAAATGTTCTGATACCATTTAATACTATAATTCATTAGTACCTACGTCATAAAAATATAAAATTGACAAAAAAACAAAATTAATAAATAGATTACTATTGTATTGTGATAAATACATAATATCTGTATTCAACGGCACGATAATATATAAATCGATTTTAATCGCTAGCCACTTGTGGTGTGTTCTATAGTGTACTGTGTACAGCAGGGGTCTCCTGGACAAAAGAATCAATAATTTACTTTAATATACAGAGTGATTCACCAAGCATCTCATCTATTTCGTAAAACTTTATTTATTTTAATCAGGTTTTTAATTTTTCTACATACTTATAGACCTTAATTTTTAAATTTTCTATACACGCAATTATATTATTAATTGTAAAATCGCAATAAGGAGTTTTTGTAACGAAACAAGCTTCTTTTATCCTAAATAAAATATCCTCGTAATCTTTTTAGTACTTATATAAAACTTAATAAATCAGAATCTCAAAAACTACTTGTTCAAATTTCAATTATATGGGTAAGTAACTGTATAAATTAATAATTAAAAAAATATCAACTTGACCGTTTGCGGTAAAAAATAAAGGCTGTTTACATTCAAATAGGTATTTGAATATGTCATTATCTTTAAGATTTAAGCGTATTTAAAAATTTTTCCCAACAAAATTAATTTAAATAACTAATAAGGATATAATAATTAAAGTGGGAAATTGCGGTGAACGTGATAAGTGAGTTACACGCTGTATATAATATAACATTCCGGCGGCGACGCAAGACTAACTTTCAGACGATCTACGAATTCATGCTTTTTTTGGCGCACGCGTACACTCTTTATCACGTTTCAACAAGCACCGCTACCCCTACCCGGCAATAGACCCATTGAAGTTGTGCGCTATGGTATTATTACTATTATTATAAATATTATTTATATTATTCTCTGTCGTCAACGCCGTCGCTATACACCTCATATTCACAGCTCACTCCGTGGCCGGTCGTCTTCCTGACTTACAATCAAGATACATTCCATCGACGAAATATAAACTCTCATAATATATTTTAACATAATTTATTAGTTATTTAAAACATTTTTTTCCGTATGCCCATCAAATCCTGACTAATTTACGCATCTAAACGACTAAACATACGGAACACCCTACAAAGTTGTACATATTAAATTTACAATCTCACGTACGAACGTCAACTAAACTTAGGCACGATCATCATGTCAACAGCGGCTTGCAACAAAAGTACGAGAAGCGTTGACAATATCGTCCATGTGGAAAGCCCGAATGTCCAATACAGCAAAGAGTACATCGAGTCCACCATCGAGTATCCTATCAACTATGCCATAAGCGAAAAGGATACGATAGTGGTAAAATTTACTTTTTTTAAATATAATATTGCTATTTATACATAGAAAAAATTTCTGAATAGACTACTTAAATACATATTATCATTAAATAATAAATATCTTTCAAGTACTATAGCTGGCTATAGTATCTACCTTCTATGAGTACTAAGACAAGTATACAGGCTATACATGTTGAAATAATCGGATAGTGCTAGGTATCATCGGACTATACTTCTTTTATTTCAAGCATTTATTTTTTTTAAATTTTAATAATATTTGTTTATATTTATTTTAAAAATAGTACTAAATGTACAACAAATAGGTAATTAAACCACGATTAATAGGTTGTAACTATAGATACCTACCAAATAAAAAGATATGTTAGGTAGGTACATATGCTACACATATAATTTTGAAGTACCTAGAAGAAATTCATAATTTTACTACGAAATTGTAATATCCCCATAGTTGCCTCGAACGACTTTGATAAATATATTCCTATAGTTGGAGAAATTTTGTTTAAGTTGATTTTTTTTTTTTTATATTTTGATATTTAAAATACGTAAGTAGATAATGTCAGGCTTTAGAATAATTTATCCATCTAGATTTCTTAGAATAAATAATTTATGTTTCTATATTCTGACGATACCTAATAAATAAATGTAATATAAAATCATTTAAATATTATGTTAAAAATAATATACAAGAACCGTCGATTGCTTTTCTTAAAATTTATCATTGATTTGGTAATGTTAAACCATAATTTACAATTAAAATTTAAACAGAAAACCTCATTGGAATTTTGAGAATAGCTTTACTTATTAATATTTATTTATTAAGTGTATTACTAAATTAAGTATGCATAAATGTTTGCACGCATCTAGTAAATTTATTATATTTAATTTTTGAGTTCTATTTTAATAGGTACTCGTATATTATAATATATTCATGCATTTTATTATTTCGTATTTTTTAACCAGAATAAATATACTAAGCAGTATTAAAATAAATTGAGAAACGACCTTTAATATTTTCTGAAAATACGATTTTGCTGATTATAAATATTATAAAGTTAAATACTGGATGACTGTGTAATGTTATAATGTACTTAGTACCTATTTATAACTTACACTATAATATATATTTATACTCGTTTTCAACAAATAAATATATTATCACTTAAGTTCATTAGCCTTGCAGACTTTTCGCATATTTCTTTTATTTTAAAATATTTTTAATAAATAATATGATACTTAGGTATATTAGATTTAAATACTTTATTACTTATATTTATGTAGAAAACCATTCAAATTTAATAGTTTACAGTCATTTCTGCATTCTGTTACTCGTAATATTGCTGAAAATTATTAAAAATATTTAAAAATTATATTTTATTATTTACTATACAACACAAACCAGTATGTGTTTAAATATAAATTATATATAGTTATTATTTTACGCACATTTCTTGATGTTTCTCACACTTCTTAAAACTTGTATAATTTAAAACAAAATTTATTCTAGTCATCGTGTCGTTATTAATATAATTTTTTTTTTTTTT